CAGAGAGACCTACGTGGCATTGTAAATTAATCACAAGTTCAATATGCAGCTACAACAAGCATTTAGAACAGCAAGTAATATGTTAGCCTTTTTTCCCATCGACCAGTCACTTCTTCATAAAGAAGCTTTCCTGCAAAAATATAGGCCTTGGTAAGACCATGTCTGAAATAATTTGTACAGTTTTGGCTTCTATACTTAAAGAATTATGCAGTTGCCTTCAAGGGAGTACAGTAAAGGTCCACTAAACAGATTGTTGGGATGAGTGAAGGGAGATTGAGTTAACTAGGCCTAATGTTTCTTGAGTTTAGAAGGATGACGTAATCTCATTAATACACATGGAATTCTTGAGGGGCTTTATAGGGTAGCTGGAGGATCCAGCTGGAAGCTGGAGCTTGAACTTGGCTGAAAAGTTCTGCGCTAGATAACAAACTCAAGGTGGAGGAGCTGGTCATTGAGGTGTGAGTTGTGAAATTTAGTTAATCAATGGGTGGTAGATGTTTGGAATCTCTACCCAGGAGGGTTCTGTTATTGACTGTATTAAACATGGAGATGAATAGGTTCTTACAAATGAGGGGATCAAGGAAATAGTACAAGTTTTTGAGTTAAGGTGGATGGTATGTCATTATCATATGGAATGGCAGAATAGGCTGGAAGCAGATTTCTCCTGTCTTTTGGTAGGTTGCTTTGTCTTGACTTTTCAACACTCATGTTTGGCTAAACTGAGTAAAGAATCAGGGTTAGGTTGGTGGAATTGGGGTTCAGGCTGCTGATTGATGCTTGGATATTTTATTATTGGAATTTCAGATGAAAGAGCAATAATGAGGGAAGTGGACAAACCACAAGATCAATGTGAAAAGCTGATGACCATGCTAATTGAATAGTCTGTGTACTCACTACAGAAGATCAATCCTTTGATGAAAATACTTTCCAAGTAATTGTAGCTCTCTACTCGCAACTCTGAGTGAAAACGAGTATTTCATTCAAACTGTTTTTCCTTCTGAGTTTCATGTCTTAATCTTCCATTAATGAACAACAAAGCGTGAAGGTGGTTCAATCCAAGCTCACCAAGTTTTTGAACAGTAGATTGGGTTTATTTCACCTGCTTCTTAGCTTTGAGATTGGCAACAAACTTCCCTACATTTCTGCTGTTTGTTTGTTCCTCATCAGAGAATGCTGATTGAGTCAAGCTGCTTTTGATTTGTTTGCTCTTGGGCAATCTGATATTTAGTAACAGCAGATGTTGATTTAAACCAGCACTGAACATCTTCTTTGCTCAGAGTTTCATTCTAATGCTATTACTATGACTCAAGCTTCAAAGGATTAAATCATGAGTCCTACAACAGCCTAAACATGACAGTAGTTTACTCAACTAATGGGTCACATTCCTTTAAAACTAGCTTATCACTGCAAATGTAATATTATTTGCTCTAACCCTCCCAAAAATCTCATATGTCCAACTATTTATGTTAAGTACTTATTTTCGCTTTACTTTCCAAAGTGAACTTGCAATATTTGCCTACGATGCAGTTATTTGCTTGTGTACTCTTCCCTCCTCCATGCCCTCTTCTTGCATCAGTTATTTACTTGATCATAGAAGATAATGAATTTATGCCCTTACTTCACATGGATATTAATAATATTCATTAAATTCTTTGTGTGTTGTCTGAGACAGTTTATCTGCAGCTGAGTTCCTCACTGCCAAGTGTCTATCAATGGATTTCACGTTTGGCTGAACAATTTAATTCAAACAGTGTCCAAAATCAGCACTGTAAATGTACCACTCTGTTCTGCAAGCAAATGTTTGTCCCCTTCAGCAAAACCACTGTCCTGTTACAAACATTAGAACCTTTAACCCCAGATGCAATGCAGCATAAATTCACCAGAATGAGAGATTACGCAGAAGAGGGTTGTAACCTTTTTAATTTAGGACATTAAGGGGTGATGTGATTAAAGCTTTCAAGATATTAGTGGCTGACTGGGGAGCCCAGGACTAGAAGAAACAGCCTAAAAGTTAGAGCTAAATCTTCCAGAGGTGAAATTAGAAAACACTTCTACATAAAATAACGTTGAAAATTTGGAACTGTCTTCAGGGAAATATGGTTGATGCTGGATTAATAGCTCAGTAAGATATCGAGGAATATGGGGCAAAGGTAGGTACATTGTACAGGGTTGCAAAGCAGCCATATTCTCATTGGATGGTGGAACAGCCAAATGGCTTCCTGTTCCTCTTTAGCACTCTGCAAAACCAATACCTAATACCTCACATGCAAATGCTATTCATCTCCAGTCACATACAATCTACACTCAAAACACTGCTATTTAGCTCAGAAACTCTATATCATATTATACAACGTAAAATGACATTGCCTGCATTTTTTCCACCACTTGAGCCTCACATTTTATTAGCTGTTTTTCCTCAATTTTTTCTTTTTAGTTCTTTCCTGGAATTTGGGCAGCATTTGTTGTCCATCCCTAATTGCTCTGGAACTGAATGGCTTGTTGACCATTGCAGAAGCCAGTTAAGTCAACCACATTGTTGTTGACCTGGAGTTAAGTATAGGCCAGACTGAATAAAGACAGCTGTTTCCTTCCCTAAAGGACTTCAGTGAACCAAATGGGTTTTTACAACAACTTATAGTTTTAAGGTTGCTGTTATTGAGACAGGCTTTATATTCCAGACTTATTAAATGAATTTAAAACTCACCAGCTGCCATTGCAGGATTTGACCCATGCTCCATTGGCAATAGCCTGAGCCTCTGGATTACTCATCTACTGAAATTCCTTCACTGTACCATACTTGGTACTCTGCAGGAGCAGGATGAAAAGTGGAATTTCCATGTAACATCCCTGTCACACACTTTTATGTTTCAGGGCCAGAGTTTTTCCACAGCATTTCAAAATCCCAGCTCCCAAGTGTGACACATTTCCTGTTCTATTTTTAAACTTGCTAGGTCAAAATTGAGACTGTCCTCTTTCAGACAGTTAAAAAATGAAAGACAGACATGCATATAAGCAGTTGACTGGTGAAAGACGTGCTTTTCATGTCTCAGGATTTGTGTTTAAACACAAAAGTTTGACAAATTGAGAATTGTAAGCACATGCTAGATGCAGATAGCTTGGTGTTCTGTGTGTCCATTTAATCAACACTTTCGGTCATATTATAATGCACCTCAGACAGGAGAGACTTCAGTCCTTCTGGCCCAGAGGTAAAGACACTGTCATGGCACCACAAGAGCCCCAGTAGTGTTCTGTTTTTGCTGAACTATCCAGGAATCTGTTATAAAGTGGGCTTTTGGATTCACACCATTCTCAGGATAGCACATCAGCTCAGTTACTTTGGCTGACCGTCAAAGTTCCTTCATCTTAACAGTGGTGCTTTAACATCAATGGAAGAACTGTATGGTAAGGCTGCAGTATGTATAAACTACAGGTTCACTGCAGTATTCATCAAGGTTACATAACAGCATGTACCAACACTGTCCTCTATTGTCAAAGAAAGGCAAAGGCAGATATACCATGGGGGGCATCATCACCTGGGAACAGCATCCCAGCAGGAACATATTCCTTCATTATCACTGGGTCAATATCCTGGAATCCTCCTCGCTAATAATATTATTGGAGTATCATCCCAACGTCAACAGAAGTAGATCAAAAAGAAGACTCATGACCATCTGCAGGACAGCTGAGGAAGGGCAATAAGTGTCAACCACATCCTGAGTATATATTTTTTAAAAAGACACATTTATAATCTCTCTCTCTCATGGTATCCCATTTACATTCCAGAAGGAATCCACTCTAATTATTTACAATTTTGTAATTTCAAACTTGTGATATCTGAGTATTTTGATGTTGCAGACGTCAATTATCTCACTTGGCTGGATGGATGGTTTGCAACGCAGAGTGATGCCAACAGTGTGGGCTCAATTTCTGCACCAGCTGAGGGCATCGTAAAGGGCTGTCCTCAACCTCTCCCTTCACCTGAGGAGTGGTGACCCTCGGGTTAAGCCACTACCAGCCGTCTCCCATGAATGAGGGAGCAGCCGTATGGTCCTCTTGGATTATGGCAACTCTACCTTTTGGTTTTATTTTTCTGTTATCCAATAGTTTACTGTCAGGATCTATTTGTCCAAAAACCTGCTACGGACAAACCACACAGTGTGTGTTAATTGCCTTGTGGTCTGATTCAACTGATATATCCAATTATGTCTTTTGTTAGAATGTTTTATCTTTTGATAAATTGACCTGTTTAGCCTGTATGCAATAGTTCAGTGGTGCATTAGTTTTTCACTTTCTAAGGTGACTAGGACTCCCATCCATACGTTCTCCAGCAAGTGACTTAGAGCAATACAAGCTTAAGTCTTAAAACAGAGGTTTGTTAATCCAGCCCAAGTAGAAAGTAAAAACACCACTACCAAAGTACACAAGAGATTTTTGGTTTGGAGAAACTGTTTGAGAAAAAAATAATTTGGGATAAAGTCCAAACAAGTGAAATTATCGAATTAAACCATGGACTTTCTTAAACATGGATGGGAAATGCCCTGTTGGTTTTAACAAAATTAGGTAACCAGTCTTTTGGAGATAGTGAGAGAATTTATTTTTCCCATCCCTTAATTATTACACAGTTTTGTTGTTATTTTAGCTGTGTGATCATCGAAGGGAAGGAAATGGCAAGTGACGAACGTTTGCTGGTATTTGATCAGTTTTATGATATGCTGTGGGAATAAAACTGACAACTAATTAGCTTTGTACTAGGTACTTGTTTGTCACTGTTACTTCAGAAATACTTCACCATCAGCATTTAGATGTATGTTTTCCAACTGGACAAAGTAAGCTGCTTTTGCTACATATATATTGGAAGTTTTAAGGATCATATTCTGAGATAAAGCCTGACAATAATGCGGTCTAGGTTTTGATTACACAGATATCTAATATTACATATATTCGGACATGGATGTATGAGAAAATAAAGACGGTTCTCTACTCTTTTGTATTTTTCATAGATGATCTTGCATCCAAAGCGAATATCATCATTGACCCTGCAGAGATCTCTGCCATTTCAATGGACGACTTGGATGAGGATGATGAGAGTGTAACTCAGCAGGTACAAAACCACAGCAGAACTTTTTCTGACAATGTTTAGATTGTTTAATTTGTTAGGTCCCAAGAGTTAATGAAACTAATGCTAGCCTAGAGTACTCTAAGGATTGTATGAAGGGTGTGTATGTGTTTTAAGATGCTGACTTCAGATTTTCAAATCAAGAGTGTAACTCTTGGTCAGACATTGATACATTATTCTCTTAACACCACTACATATTGCAAATGCTTTGTAATTACATTGTGTGTAGCAACTGAAACTACATAAAGTGCAAATAGCTTCCCATTAATCTTTATTTGTGGAATCTACGCTATCAGAGCATAAAAGTACCCTCTGTTATAGTACTTACAGCACAGAAAAAGGCCAATTGGCCCAACAGGTCCATGCGAGAAATAAAAATAGAAAATACTGGAGAAACTCAGCAGGTCTGACAGCATCAGTGGAAAGAGAAACAGTTAACATTTTGAGTCTGATATAACACCTCTTCAGAACTAAAAGGAGATGGAAAATGGTGCTTTTTGTGCTGTTGAGGAGGAGTAAGTAGAACAGGTTTTAACGGTGTCCAGAGCAAAAAACAAAGGCAGTGATAATGGTGAAGCACCAGTATCAGTGCTTCAAACAAGCCTAACATTGTTTTAATCCAGAAACACTGACGCAGCAGGAAAACCCAAGTACAGCACTATGTTTATCTGCTACCCCAGGAGCACTCTTTGAGCAGGAATATCATCTTATTTTGTTAATCCACTGTACAAACAGTGGATCTCTAAATAATATTTTCATGATCCAGCATACCAAGAAAATCTCTCACGACAGCACTCAACCCTAGCTGCTAATTAATGTTGAGTTGTGAAACGTGAAGTGGAAGTTATAGCAGCCCTGAGAGATTCAGTCACAGAACTATGAAATTAATTGGATCAGATGTGTCAAGAGCCAGGAGTCCAAACTAACTTCAGAGAAAGAGAGGGCATCTAGTGTAAATATATTAGATATTCAACAACACTTCAAGTAGAGGATAGGTAGAACAGCTTTGAATGTGTAGTGCTAACCTTGTAGGAGAAATCCATACCAGAAATAAAGAAGACAAGCACAGGCTAAACAAATGTGCATTTAAATGCAGTAAAAAATTACTGGCAATATGACGTCGGAAAAAGTAACTCTTAGGTGAGCTGCAGGGAGAAAGGATAAGGGGTTCACTGGGATACATACAGCCTCAAGGCAAAATATACATAAAAGAATGATCAAAGGGGATGAGAGATATTATAGCAAAGGTATGTTAATGCTGTGACAAGGCATAATTGTCCTATAATAGTAACAAAGCAGTCAAAGAAGTTAAACTGTAGAAAGTACGTAAAGGTTTAAAGGTCGAGGTTGAGCACACTGCAGTAAATATTCTGACTGACTGCTTCCTTAAAGTATTTACTAAGGAAGGCAATGAATGACATCCTTAACCATGACAGAATTGATGGATTTTGTTTTCTTTTCATTCTTTCATGGAATGTATGAATCGCTAGCAAGGCCAGCATTTGTTGCCCATCTCAAATTGCTCTGCAACTGAGTGGTTTGCTAGACCATTTCAGTTGGCAGTTAAGAGTTAACCTCATTGTCATGAGTCTGGAGTCATATGTAGGCCACACAAGGTAAGGTTGACAGCTTTCCTTTCACAAAGGACATTAGTGAGGTGAGTGGGTTTTTACAACAATCAATGATAGTTATATTCCACATTTATGAGCTTGAACGTAGGCTTTTGGATTGCCAGATCATTGAAGTTACCTCCACACCCTATCTTCCCCTCCTTTTATGCATGCAAGTTAAAAACTCCCCACTTACATACGGGACACCACCCATGCCCTCCACCTCCTCCAAGACTTAGAATTCCCTGGTCCCCAAAACTTCGTCTTCACTATGGATATCCAATCCCTATACACTCGCATCCCCCATGCAGATGGCCTAAAAGCCTTCCGCTTCTTCCTGTCCCGCAGGCCCAACTAGTTCCCCCTTCACCAACACCCTCATCCGCTTAACTGAACTCGTCCTTACCCTTAAAAACTTCTCCTTTAACTCCTTCCACTTCCTACAGACTAAGGGGGTGGCTATGGTCACCCGCATGGGCCCAAGCTGTGCCTGCCTCTTCGTAGGATACATGGAACAGTCCCTCTTCTGCTGCTATACTGCACTATCCCCCATTGCTACATTGATGACTGTATTGGCGCTGCCTCATGCTCCCGTGAGGAGCTTGAACAGTTAATCAACTTTACTAACACGTTTCACCCCAATCTCAAGTTCGCCTGGACCATCTTCCTCCCCTTCCTGGACCTCTCCGTCTCCATTTCTGGTAACCGCCTCAACACTGATATCTATTTCAAGCCCACCGACTCCCATAACTACCTGAACAACAACACCTCTCACCCACCCTCCTGCGAGAATGCAATCCCTTATTCCCGATTCCTACCTCTCCACCACATCTGCTCCCAAGATAGTGTTCCGCTCCCGAACATCCCAGATGTCCTCCTGTTTCAAGGACCACAATTTCCCCCCTCTGGTAATCAAAAATGCCGTCTATCGCATTTCTCGCACTTCTCGCACTTCTGTCCTCAAGCCCCATCCCCCAAAATAAAAGAAAGACAGAAACCCTTTGTCCTCACATACCACCCCACCAACCTCCTCAACCAATGTATCATTCTCCACCACTTTTGCCACCTACAATCCAATATCATGACCAAAGAGATATTTCCCTCCCCAGCCCTATCTGCCTATCGTAGGGACCGCTCACTCTGTGACTCCCTCGTCCGCCCCACACTCCCCACTAACCCCACCACCCCCGGCACCTTTCCCTGCAACCGCAGGACGTAGAACGTTACAGCGCAGTACAGGCCCTTCGGCCCTCGATGTTGCGCCGACCTGTGAAACCAATCTGAAGCCCATCTAACCTAAACTATTCCATTATCATCCATATGTTTACCCAATGACCATTTAAATTCTCTTAAAGTTGGTGAGTCTACTACTTTTGCAGGCAGGGCATTCCACACCCTTACTACTCTCTGAGTAAAGAACCTACCTCTGACATCTGTCCTATATCTATCACCCCTCAATTTAAAGCTATGTCCCCTCGTGCTAGCCACCACCATCCCAAACCTCCCCCCTTGTCTTCATATGGAGCCCAAGACAAACTGTCCATATCAGACAGGGGTTCACCTGTACATCCTCCAACCTGGTCTACTATATCCGTTGCTCCCAATGCGCCCTCTTCTACATCGGTGAGACCAGGCGCGGACACGGGGACTGTTTCGTGGAGCATCTGCACCCTATGCGACAAACAACACCACCTTCCGGTCGCGAACCATTTTAACTTTCCCCTCCCACTCCCTGGGTGATGTGTCCATCCTGGGCTCCCTCCACTGCCCCAATGGCGCCACATGCAAACTGGAGGAGCAACATCTCATATTCTGCCTCGGGAGCCTACAGCCCTATGGCCTAAACATGGAATTCACCAGTTTTACAATCTCCTCACCCCCGGCCTCATCCCATGTCCAAACTTCCCTCTCATCCCCAACTGCTTGACCTGACACAATGTGTCCGTCTTCTTCCCCACCTATCCACCCTACCTTTCCCGCCGACCAATCCCCACTGCCCCTTTCATGTATCCAACCTATCACCACCCCACCTACCTTCCCCCAGCCCCACCCATATTCCCTCCTGCCTCCTTGACCCGACACAACCCGTCCATCTTCTCTCCCACCTATCCACCCCAGTCATCCCATTGACCAATCCCCACCACTCCTTACCTGGATCCATTCACCATCCCACCTACCTTCCCCAGCCCCACCCCTCCTCTCTCTATTTATTTCTGAGCTCCCTTCCCTCTCCCCATCTCTGAAGAAGGGTCCGACCCAAAATGTCAACTTTCCGGCTAGTAACATCATTAGTCTTGTTCCAATTTCTATAAAGTATTGGAATTTACTTAGAGTGAATTTGCAGATCGTCTATAGGCCAGTAGCTCTGTGGGGATTCAGGGTATAAATAACGACCTTGCTGAAGACTTTTAGCAGAATGGAGTGGAGTGATCTGAGTTCAGTTTTAAGGCCACTGCTGTTTCTTATTCACATTGGAGCTTTGAATTCTAAAAACAATGCCAATTTTTCAAAGTTACAAATGGTACAAGCTAACAGGGACAGTGGAAATCAAAGAAAGCAGTTCAAAATTTGCAGGATGAGCTGTCAAAATATGTACAAGGGCAGAGGAACCCACACATGTCTGGTTTGATGTGTAACTCTGATCAGTTTTATGACACACACTGACCGCTGATTTCTGCTCTCCTGTTTGCATGTGTCCTCAATCCAGCAGAGGCCAGGTGGTGCTGCTGCAGGTGCAGGAAGTCTTGCCAGGCCGAGCTGGTTAAGTTCACCAACGCTGGGGCGAGCCAATAGGTTCTTAAGCACGGCAGCTGTGAGTTTGATGAATCCCCGTCGATCCTTGACTTCAGTCGAAAAGGTGAAGGTTCGTACTCTGAGTGTGGAGCAGAGGACAGAGGAGGACAGTAAGTATCCACCCAGTAGATGCTCAGTTTGAGGTTTGGCCTTCGTTGCAAGAAGATTTTAGAGTTTTGATTTCCTTGTCAAAGAAAGGGTAACTGGAGAGAATGCAGTGGAGGTTCACTAAGCTGATACCGGGGTTGGCAGGACTGTCCTTTGAGGAGGAATTGGTGCGACCAGGCTTGTAATCACTAGAGTTTAGAAGAATGAGAGAGGATCTGTATGAAAATGTAAAAGATTCAAACAGGGCTGAACAGACTAAATGTAAGGCGGATGTTTTCCCTGGTTGGAGAGTATAGAACCAGTAGACACAGTCCTGTGATACAGGGTAGACTATTTAGCTTTGAGATGAGGAAAGATCCCTTCACTGAAAGGGTAGTAAACTTTGTAGAATTTGCGACCAAAGAAGGCAGTGGAAGCCAAAGCACTGAATATATTCAGGAAGAGATTAATAAATTATTATAAACTAAAGGCATCCAGGGGTATGGGTAACAAGTGGGAATATGGCATTTAGATAGAGGATCAGCCGTCATCACATTGAAAGGAGAAGCAGGGTTCAAGAGCTGAATGGCCTGTTCCCGCACGTGGTTCCGATGTTTTACAGTTTGAAAGCAGTTACAGAGGCAGTAAAATGGACTGTTGTTAGGGAAGGAGCTTGTGTGAGTTGCGTGGTGAAAACACAAGTATGGTGATATAGACGAGTAAAGAACAAAAGGGGAAGGTGTGACTTGTGCTTTTAGATGACATACAGGCTTTGGGAAAACATGAGATGAGTTACTCACTGCAGAATCCAACTTCCATCCTGCTTTTGTAGCTATGATGATAATACCCCCAGGAGGCTGGATCTAGTATTGTGTAATGAGGGGAGATTAATTGATGACATCAAAGTTAAGGATCTTCTAGGGAGTAGTGACCATCGTATGATAGAATTCAAAACTCAGTTTGTGGGTGAGAAAGTGCAGTCCCATTGTAGTGTTCTGGAATTAAACAAAAGAAATTACAAAGTCACGAGGACAGATTGGGCAGTTGATAAGCAGGGGCAGTTGTTTAAGGAGCTACTCAATTCCTCACAAATAAATTATATCCCAGTGAGGAACAAAGATGGTAAGGGGGCTAAAAAACATCCATGGCTGAACTAGAAGGTCAAGGACAATATAAGGTCAAAACTAAGGTGCACCATATTGCAGAGGCCAGTGGCAGGCAGGAGGATTGGGAAACTTTCAAACATAAACAAAGGGATATTAAAAAATTAATAAAAAGAGCTAAGGTAAGTTACAAGAGAAAACTAGCACAAAATATCAGAAAGGATAACAAAAGCTTCTATAGGTAAATAAGAGAGAAGAGAGTTGCTTTGGTGAATGTTGGTCCCTTGGAAGATGAAACCGGAGAGTTGATAGGGGGAACACTGAAATGGCAGAGATGTTAAATCAAGTTTTCACGATGGGGGACAATAGTACCATTCCTATTGGAAGGGGCAAGTCTGAGGCAATAGAAAGGGTATAACTTAGAACAGTCAACATCGATAGGGAAAAGGTACTCGGCAAACTCTTAGGATTGCGGGCAGAAAAGTCCTCCAGGCCTGATGGACTACATCCTAGGGTATTAAAGGAAGTGGTGGTGGAGATAGTAGATCCATTGGTTACAATATTCGAAAATTCCCTGGACATAGCATTTTTCCAATCCATGGGAACCTATCCTAAGTAACACCCTTATTCAAAAAGGGAGGGAGGCAGTATGTGGGAAATTACAGACCAGTTAGTTTACCATCTGTTGTTGGCAAAGTATTAGAATCAATTATCAAGGAAGCAATATCAGGAGATTTGGAAAGTCAAAATGCTATCCATCAGAGTCAACATGTTTTTATGAAGGGCAAATCATGTTTGACTAATTTGCTAAAGTTGTTCAAAGATGTTAACAAGCAAAGTGGATAATGGGGATCCTGTAGATGTAATTTATCTATACCCCGGAAGGCTTTTGATAAGGTGATGCACAAAAGGGTTGGATCATATGGGATTGGGGGTAATGTATTAGCTTGGATAGGTGACTGGCTAATGGAAAGAAGACAGAGAGTTGGGATAAGTGTTTTTTTTTCTAGATGGCAAGAAGTAACTAGTGAGGTGCCAAAGAGTTTGGTCCCCAACTATTTACAATCTACATTAACCACTTAGATACAGGGATAGAAGGCTCTGTAGCCAAATTTGCAGATGACACAAAAATAGGCGGGACTGTAAATTGCAGTGAGGAAATAATAACCTCACAAATGGATATAGATACGTTAGGAGAGTGGGACAAAATGTAGCAGATGGAGTTTAATGTGGATAAGTGTGAGGTCAAGTATTTTGGTCGGAAAAATGCGAAGGCGACTATTATCTAAATTGGGAGAGACTTTGGGGTGCACGGTTTTGGTCCCTTTATTTGAGGAAAGATGTAGTGGCATTGGAGGCAGTTCAGAGAATGTTCACTAGATTAATCCCAGAGATGAGGGGTTTGTCGTATGAAGACAGATTGAACAGTTTAGGCCCACATTGTATGGAATTTAGAAGAATAAGGAGAGATCAAATTGAGGTGTTCAAGATGATAAAAGGTATAGATAAAATAGACGTGGAGCGGATGCTTCCTCTTGTGGGGCAGTCTAGGGCGAGGGGTCATAGTCTTAAGATAAGGGGTAGCAAATTTAAAACAGAGTTGAGGAGAAATTGCTTCTCCCAAAGGGTTGTGAGTCTGTGGAATTCGCTAACCCAAAGTGCGATGGATGCTGGGACAGTGAGTAAATTTAAGGAGAAGTTAGACAGCATTTTAATTGGTAGTGGGTTGAAGGGGTGTAGGCAGAAGGCAGGAAGATGGGGGTGAGGAGCAAATCAGCCATGATCGAATGGCGGAGCAGAGTTCTTTGGGCCAAATGGCCTAATTCTGCCCCTATATGTTATGAACTTATGAAGGTTGATGTTGGGGAATTCAGAGGTGACGGTATTGCCATTGACTGTCAAGGGAACGTGGTCAGATTCTCTCTCATTGGAAGTGTTCATTGCCAGGCATTTGCCATTTTTCGTACCCAAGCCTGATTGTTGCCAGGTGATGCTGAATGTAGGTACAGATAACTTCAGTCACTGAAGAATTGTGAATGGTGCTTAACACTTTTCCTGGCATGCAGTTCTTCAGGAAGTGAGCACAAGCCCTCCTTCACCAGCCAGAGACTCAAATGATGCATGAACCCAGGTGGAATTGTGAAAGGTGTTTCTTCCTACAGCAGGATTTGCCAAAAGTGGTTAATGATCAGCCTGTTGGGAGTTCCTATATAGCATAGTGGCACAAGTCTAGCAAAGGTAGCAGCATGGAGATATCTCCAGCACTAAACTGTCCACAAATGCGATGTGACTGAAACTGTTACTGGTGTCGATGGTAACCATGATGTAGAGGTGCCAGTTTGGTCTGAGGTGGACAAAGTCAGAAGTCACACAACACCAGATTATTGTCTGACAGGTTTATTTGAAATCACAAGCTTTCACAGTGCTGCTCTTTCGTCAGGTGAAGTCCCTAAAGAAGGAGCAGCACTCCAAAAGCTTATGACTTCAAATAAACCTGCTGGACTATGACCTGGTATCATTTGACTTCTGACACTTGCACAGGTTGGAAAAAAGGTGTGCAGCTTCTGATTCACCTAGTGCCTGACCGCCTCAAGTTAATGTGGTAACCGGCAATCGTTTAACACTTGGAGGAAACCTTCATTGCACTGAATAGTGTACTTGAAAGTCAACCTTATTATTTTACGCCAGTCAACATGGGGTTAAGCGGTGCACCACTATTGAGCTAATGTGGCCCAATTTGTTATTAATATCAGCTTTTCCTTGTGCTTTGACAATACAGACCTATGAATTATAAGTAAGACTAGGCTTATTGAAACATAAGATTCTTGCGGGTCTTGGCAGGATAGAGGCAGAGAGGTGGTTTCTCCTCAGGAGAGAATCTAGAACCTGAGGGCATAATCTCACAGGAAGGGGTCTCCGATTTAAGACAAGATGAGGGGGAATTTCTTCTTTCAAAGGGTAGTGACTTTGTGAAGTTCTTTACTGCAGAGAGCTGTCAAGGCTAAGATTGGAAGATTTTTAATCTGTAAGGGAATCAAACATTCTAAGAGAAAAGGCAAGGCAGTGGAGTTGAGAATTAACAATCAGCCACAATCTCATTGAATGATGGACCGGACCTGATGGACCAAATGGTCTACTTCAGCTCCTATGTCTTATGGTCATTCACCTTCAATAGACTGCTCAACTATTCATTAATAACATATCTGATCTGATTGTGGCCTCGATTGCACATTTCCATCTACCTTAGATTCTTGGCTAGTAAGGGGATTATTCTACCTCTGCCTTAAAATATGCAATGGCCCTGCCTCCACCATTCTTTGGGGAGAGATGACCCGCTGAGAGAAAAATATCCTTTAATCCCCATTTTAAATGGGCAACCCATATATTCAAGCCCTTCATTGCAATCTCTACCACAAGGAGAAACTTCCCTTCAGCTTCCATCCTGTCGAGTCTCCTCAGAATCTTATACGTTTCAATAAGATCACTTCTCATTCTTCTAAACTCCAGTGAATGCAAGTATAGCCTGTCTAACTTCTCCTCACAAGGTAAACCAGTATCAATGACACAACACTACCTAAGTGCCAGGCAGTGACCATTTCCAACAAGATAGAATCTAATCATTGCTACTTGACATTGAACAGCATTACTGTCACTGCATACCCACTAACAATAGCCTGAGGGTTACCATTGACCAGAAACTGGACTGGACTAGCCGTATAAATACTTTGGCTACAGGAATAGCTGAGAGGTTAGGAATCCTGCAGTGAGTAACTCACCTGACTTCCCAAAGCCTGTGCACCATCTACAAGGCACAAGTCAGGAGCATGATGGGATACTCTTCACTTGCCTGGATGAGTGCAACTCCAACGACACTCGAGGACATAGATTCCAGCATTTTTTTTTTTTTGATGACAGATATTAGGCTAACCAGCTTGTAGTTTCCTGATTTCTGTCTCCCTCCTGTCTCAAATTGAGGAGTCACATACAATTTTCCGATCTGATGGGATCTTTGCAGTATCTAGGGAGTGTTAAAATTTAGACCAATGCATCTACAATCTCAGCAACTACTTTATTTTATAATCATCCTAGGAGAAAGTCCATCAGGGCTAGAGGACTTATTGGATTTTCATTCTAATAATTTTATTTGTATATTTTCCATGGAGATTGTACTTGTTTCAAGTTCCTCACACCCTTTCATATTGTGATAGTTATTTCTGGAATATTATTTGTATCCTGTACAGTGAAGTTAGATGTAAGTTGTCCAATTCATCTGCCGTTTCTCTGTTTTCCATTATTAATTTTCCAGACACACTCTCTAGAGGTAATGCACTCTTTACCTTCTTTTTTTCCTTTTAAATACCTATACAAACTCTTACAACGCAAGGCTAAGTCTGAAGCATCATAAAATTACTAACTTTACAAAGTTAACTCTTAAACATAGGTTACATTTAGTCAATTGCCCCACTTCTAAATAAGTTGATACACATCAGTACAACTCCATATACCAACTCTGCTTTCTTTGGGCTTGAAGATGGCATGTTCTCTGTCATGATACGGGAATGACCTAGATAGAGGCCGAGCAGCTTTACAGGTATAACTCTTAAAACATTAGTGCGTCATCTTCACTCTGTTATCAATCCCACGGTGCATTTTTGTCAAGTGAAGCTAAGTAGAGTTACATGATGGTATGTGTAACCCTAACCCTACCAAGATTTGTATTGGCTACTGTTACTTTTATTGTGTGATTACACCCAAACAAAGTTAGTCCTGAAATGTTAATTTCCCTACTAATCCTATGAGTGCCTGGTTCTGATTATAGTTTCATCTGGTCAGTTTGCAGTATTAAGGTAGTGACAGAATCATGGCATGAGTGATCCTCGTAAAGCTGTCTGAACTGTGTGATTGTTTGATGACTGTGCATCAGCTTTGTAACAATGATACTATGCTTCTCCTTACAGTTGAAGGAAGCCACGGAAATGATGGCCTGTTGCTAGGGCGTCCCCCTGACGAACCAGATCACCCGATCACAGAGAAATCTTTACTGGAAATTCTGGATGGTGCTATCATGATGTACAACCTGAGCGTGCACCAACAGCTTGGCAAGGTAACATGCTCATTCTGTTGAGGGACTGGTGTGATTGTCTCATTGAACCTCATGGTGGACTCTACTGCTCCTTCTTCAAAGTAGTGCTGTGGGATCTATTACATCAAACTGAGAGAGCAGGTAGGTCCATGGTTCAACATGTTATGCAAGAAATGGCACTAGTATTACACTGAAATTTCAGCTTGAATTTGTAAGTCTCTGAAGTCATGCTTGAGCCACAACCTTCTGGTCCAGAGGCAAAAGTGCAACCAACTGAGCATTATTACAATACAGCCCGTTTTATTAGCTGTGAAAGAAAAGAAAAGTGACCTGCATTTATACAGCACCTTTCATGCCAACCAGTGGTCTCAAAGTGCTGTACAACCATTGAAGTACTTTTGAAATGTAGTCATTGTTGTAATATAAGAAATATGGCAGCTAATTTGCACATAGCAAAATCCCTCCAAAAACAGTAACATGATGATGACTGAATAATCTCGTTTTTGTGGTGATGATTGAGAGATAGGCATTGACCAGTTGATAACTCCCTGTTCCTTCTCCAAACAGAGGCATGGGATCTTTTGGATCCATCAGGCAGTCAGATAAGCCTGAGTTTAATGACACATCCGTACAATGCCACCACCAGCAAGGCAGCACTCACTCGACTCTGCTCTGGAGTATCAGCACAGATTTTTGCGCTCAAACCCTCATGTGGAACTTGACCTGGAACCTTGTACCTCAGAGTCAGAGTATTACTGTTGGTATTAAAGGCTCTAAGACAGGGAACTTTGCATTCTGTAATCAGTAAAAATGTTTGAGGGCACTCTGGAAAAAGAGAACAAAATGAAGCATTTGAAGGCAGGTGGACTAATTAGTGTGAGGGAGATCAAATATTAAAATAATAATGGAAGTTGAACAGCTGTCTTGTTTGGATTTTAGCAAAGCATTTTATGCAAGAGCAAGGAACATGGCTAGAAGATAGTCAGGGTACAGCCTTAAAGTAAAGTAAGACCTTTTAGATCAGAGGTAAGGAGAGCAGTGAATCTATGGAATTCACTACCACAGAAGGCTGTGGAGGCCAGGTCATTGAGTATATTTAAGACGGAGATAGGTTCTTGATTGTCAAGGGGATCAAGGGTTATGGGGAGAAAGTGGGAGAATGGAGTTGAGAAACTTATCAGCCATGATTGAATGACAGAGCAGACTCGATTGACTGAATGGCCTAATTTCTACTCAATTGTCTTATGGTCTTATAGTATAAAAAGGGGTAATAAGCAGCTTGCGTAGGATGCTGTTTGATCTGATGTAGAGATATGTGTAAATGTGACTATGGGTTTACAATGGGGAAGCCATAACCCTCGACAGAGTTGAGAGAAGAGCACCTGAGCTCAGGAAGGTGGGACCACTTATGTGAAAAAATTTCATTGAAATTTCCCGAATGCTTTGGGTGCAGTAAAACTATATACGTAAATGATGCCAGAACCTCAAACTATAGGGTGTGGATTCTCGTTCAGAGGAGAACAGGTGATAGAAAGCTTGAATTTAAGTACTTCATGTGGAGGACCGTTAATATTTGGAGCAGATTGTCTATGGAAGCAAATCAAGAGGAAGTTGGATCAGGGTTTGCATTTGAAAGTGATCAGGAGCTTGAAGAGGCAGAAAATAACATAGCTTTCTTTTGATCTTTGAGATCAACCAGATGGATATAGTCCTGTGGTATTTTCAGGTCCATTGCTGCCATGCCAATCACTAACCGAAAATGTGTTAAGAAGACCTCAATGTAGCCAACTCTCACCTGTCATTGAGTGTTAAGCAGAGAAAAGGAAACCTGTGAACTCTGTAGCAGGGATGAACAATCTCACTCTGGGATCACCAGTAGCTCAGTAGGACACACTGAACCAAGGATCACCATGTGAACAACATCCATCATACAGAATATTATACTTGTACAATATTTGTATTGCATTAAAGCCAGTAGATGGAATATTCAAGATGCAGAGGCACTCCAGTTCTGTCAGTGTATTGTTGTGATGATTCAGTTTTTGTTGTGATTATTGGTGTCTCTGCATGTGCGATGACTATGTCTATCCTTCAGCAGAAGTTTTGCTGGAAATTGTAATGTTTCATCTGAGAATCAGTCTCTTCTGCATGTTAAGTGACAGGTAATTTTTGGAATTGCTCTCCCACTTTCTTTCACTGACCTGGAGGATTGCAGGCATTACAATGGAGGAGGGTCCATCACAACATTCATGATCAGCAAAAGCTGTCTATTAAAGTTATGAGCTCTTTCAGTTTTTTTTTGAAAGCATGGATATCTCTGTCTCTGTAGCTTTTTCTTCTAACAAGAGAACTCTAAGAAATCCCACAACCCAAAGAGAGATGTACAAAAAAGGTACCTGAAGAAAGATGGGAATGATGAAAAAAGGGAGATGCATTGCCACATATTTCTGAGATGGCTTGCTGTGTTTAGCTGTTTTGTATCTTGGCATAAGTTATCTAGCTTGTAATTGGAGGTCTCACACTTTGAACAGCTCCGGCCATGCTTCTGTGCTACGTAGCTATGAAGATTTGCACTTTGTGTCTGGGTATAATACTGACATGAGGAACAACTAGAAATGGCCTGATCTTCACAGAAGCACTGCGTTATTCCAGTGCAGAAGGAAGCCATTTGGCCCATCGTGTTTGTAGTGGCTCTCCAAAAGAGCATTTCACTTTAACTGAAGTCAATATATGCTTCATCTACCCGGCGTTGTGTCTGAGAGTGGTAATAAATCGGTACCTTTGTTTTAAAAAGTGGTATTACAGCTCCTTGATACTATTTTATTCTGTGGGTTTCGAGTTGACATTCTTTTCATGCCTGGTGTTAACTAAGCTACAGCAGACAGTGAGGCTGAAAAAGAATTACCTATATACTGACTGAAGAAACTAGTCGCCAGTCATCACTTCAGCTTATTCATTGGTAGGTGCCCATGAACCTTGCTAGTATGGAATTCCATTTATAACAGTCACCTGTGATGTTACATCTTCGTTATAAGCGATCAATATAATAAATTGGCAGTTGATCACCCATGGAATTAAGACTAGGTATAGTTTAGAAGTGAACTGGGGTCAGAGAGTAAGGGATAATTAGATCAGATTATGTTGACTTAATTCAATCTCTATTTTAAATGCCACATATTCTTACATTATAAATTATTTTATCCAACTTTGTACTGAAAAACATACATGTGAACTTGTCACTGTAATAAACCCAAATGGAAATGGAAGTCACGTTGTCTCAAATGACTCTCGACAATGTTTGTCATTCAAATAGCCTTGCAGCAACATTGATGTGAAAGGAGATCAGTTCCTAACAACAAATGCATGGGATGTAGTGTTTTCCCATACCCTATCCCACTTCATTTCTGCCCTGTTTCTAAAAATGCCAACTCCTTGCTGCATTACGATTCCACTCATCTTTCCCACTCTTGAATAGAGATATCTATGAGGTCAGACAGGCTTAGTAGATGGTATCCTAATTGAGAATTATTCAGTTCTTGTGTCTAGGGAAAACAATAACTGATTTTTCCATCCCTAATTGTTGATGATTTCCTCAACGTTGCAACTCCAGGACAGTGAGACTCAAACTTTCTGTCCGAGAAGGAATGACTCTGTCAGTGCACTGCAGAAGTCCCTTCACCTCAGTGTTATACTGTGAGAGAGAGCGGGAGGATGAGAAAGTGTGTGAAAAGTCATTGATCAGGTTGAAGGACCAGAGCCAGAGTGCATTCAAAGTTGAGACACTGAAATGGGAGTTAAGCTTACAATTATTGCCTGAGAAGAGGAGGCGTTGATGACCGTTTTCAGAAACAATAGCAATACAATTTCCACAGTAATATTTGAGCATTGAACTGAAATAAACCAAAATTTCACTGAATCCTGACAACTCAAGAAGATGGGTACATCTTGTATGTTTTTGTCTTTCCCTTATCCTGTTTTTATGGACAAGGAGTGAGGGTGGGTTAACGTTACTCCTTTTCCCTGACTTCTCAGTTAATAGCAATAAGATGTATCTTTTAAAGTGGGATAACAAAGTGTAGAGCTGGATGAAAACACGGCAGGACAGGCAGTATCAGAGGAGCAGGAAAGCTGACGTTTTGGGTCTGGACACTTCTTCAGACCCTTCATTTCTGAAGAAAGGTCCAGACCTGAAACGTCAGCTATCCTGCTCCTCTGATGCTGCCTGGCCTGCTGTGTTCATCCAGCTCTACACCTTGTTATCTCAGACTCCAGCATTGGCAGTTCCTACTATCTCTGAGTATCTTTTAAAGTGAGTGTTTTAACCCTTTTGAATGTTGTGACACATCTTCACTGAGCATGACACTGTCGATATGTCAGATGCAGCAATTAAGATGAACCATCTTGTCACAAGGATTCCATTTTAATTGTTGCTCACTATTGAGAGTTCTAATGGAAACCAAATTCAAAATAAATGATCAAAGGTAGGCATTGGGAAGTTACTTAACTCTGTCCTTTGCCCAAACCATCAGATTAGCAAAGTTATTCCTAGGAGTGTTTCACATTTCTCCCTGGTTTTCAGTCTGGGGGGGGGCCGTGGTTTTGCCACCTTTGGGAGTTCTGGAGCACATCTGTGGTGTCATGTGGAAAAGATTGCACAAGGAGCACAGGAAAGAGTAAAAATGCAGATGTCATAAAGAATTCGATAGTTCTTCCTGTATGATGTGTTTCCTTCCTGGTGCCAATGAAATGTTCATCACTGAATGAATATGGAACATTTTCCGAGGAATAGGAGAACATAGAGAAGTTATGTTCTGTTTGGAACTAACGCTATAGGTAGGAAAAGGTTTGATACCCTAAAGGCAGTTTCAGGAATAAGGGAGGAAATTCAAAAATGTGAAGAAGGATAGTCCTGGAAATGACAGGCCACTCAATATATTGATGGGAATCTTGCACAGACAACAATCTGAAACAAAACTACTCAAAATTTGGAAACCACTGCTCGTTAAATTAAAGCCAGAATT